GAGTGGAAAAAAATTAATTTATGAAAAAATAATACGTTAAAATGTGGAAAAACTTTGACGATTGAAAATCATGAAGTTAAAGAAACAACCTGTAACATGTTTGTTTGTTTTTTGTGCATCATGTACTTTTTTCTTTTTCAACAGAGTTAGTTTGCACATTGTTGTTAAATCAAAATGCTGAATTCATCAAACAGTCAGTTATTGGAGGGTTAGTACGGATGAGCTTGGAACAGCTGTAAGTGGTGAAGTCATGTAGTTCTTGCAACATTTGTTGACATCAGTTGACATGACATTATCTTATTACTCCATTCTCAGCAAACTGCTTCACACAGTATGGTTTATGCGTATGACATCAAATCTATCTACATGTGGCATCGTGATTAACAAAGAACAGTCTATTCCAACGGAAACTTCCTCCTTGCAGTATAGTCACCCACACAGGGGAAGCTCAGTTCTTAAGAAAAGAACCTGTATTAGTAATATAAAGATGTGGAGAGGAGCACGCACAAAAAATTCTTTCGAACTCACAGGGAATTCAGGCTATACCTGAAGACATGATATTTCCATCTTACATGCACACAAGTTTCTTTTGGTTTTTTTTCCTCATGATTAAGTTGGTTGGTGTTTTAACACCATGCCAGCTTCCTTGACCTTTTTCATGGTAACACGTGACGTGAACTCAGGCCACTACAGCAATCTGACACGCCACAATAACATCAAAATTTAAGCACAAAGCTTACTGAAATTGTTTGATGGTAGGTGCGTAATAACATTTAGTTTTGTTCATGCATCAACTAAAAACAGCACAGAATAAAAGATCTCAGTTTATGAAAATGAAGATCGATTGAAAACGAGAAATCGATATTATCAACTCGCTCTAGCGTCCACACAGCTGACATGTTTACTGGCTTATCCACGCTGTGCGCGCTAAACTGACACGGACACAGACAAAACGCCATTGGAGAAGTGCTAATTAAATGTCACCATTGTAGGCAACGTTTTCGGCTGAAACTGAAAATTCA